GGTTCCATTTGGAAGTTGAAAAGTCTTATTCTTGTGATCACCTAGAAACGCTGCAAATACGCCGTCAGTCTTAAATTTCAACATCGTTCAGAGATTCCTTAACTATACCACGAAGAGCTTGCATGCACATGCGTACCACATCATTTTATACTTTTTAATTAGTATTAAGTTTTAGTCTTTAGTGTTTATCCTGCCCGAAACGCTTTGCGTAATAGTGGCTTCAGGCATTGTATGTACTAGCTCTATCTATAAACTCATCAATATTTGTATGAGGGAGCCGGTCGGCCGAGCGGACAGCACGCTGGACTTGTGATCCTGTGGTCCTGGGTTCGATCCCAGGCGCCGGTGAGAAACATTGGGCAGAGTTTCTTTCACCCTATGCCCCTGTTACCTAGCAGTAAAATAGGTACCTGGGTGTTAGTCAGCTGTCACGAGCTGCTTCCTGGGGGTGGAGGCCTGGTCGAGGACCGGGCCGCGGGGACACTAAAAAGCCCCAAAATCATCTCAAGATAACCCCTTGTATGTATGTACTTTACCTGAATAAACATTTGAATTTGAATTTTTGAATTTGACCACGTCAACAACTGTAGCGTAGTCTGGCGGTTGTGAAAATTCAAAACCGGCAGAGTTAATGCTCTTCACAGTAGCAGGAAGGGAACCCACAGCTGCTCCTTGAGGGACTTGAAGTAGAGGGGGGGAGGGAGTAGAAATAGCCTAAGCTACTCTATCCCTTTGAGATGTATTTCTTTCTTGTCTCAATAAACATACTTGAACTTGAACCCACAGCTGCCACCACGCCACCCGACACCAGCAGGGTACAACAATTGCACTGCTGCAACTAGGCTTATTGTTCCATGGAAAAACTAAGAACCAATATCTAAAAACTCACCAACTTCCCTGTTTTTAAAGTCAATAATAAACACGTCGAAAACTGTAGACAGTGCAATACAAATATCTCGATTTGGGAATTAACAGTGAAACTGTAAGTCCTTAAACATACTTAACATAAGCTCACTCTACACATTCTCTTGTGCCATTTTGTTCCTAAATGCAAGTCCTGATCTGAAACTCTTCCATGACAGATATAATAGAACCCACAACCACTATATCAGAAATAAATATCTCTTGGATATCCCCAGAGTCAAGCTAAATTTGTGTAAACTCTCTATGCAAATAAAAGGAACCTAGTCTATGGAACTCACTCCCTAATGAATTAAAAAGCTGTCCAACTTATGCCGTATTCAATAGTTAGTTTAGTTCATTTATTATGCACCCCATACCCATTTTGTGGGCGGTAGTGGAAAGGGTTACAGAGGCACATAATGGGCTCAGGGACTGAACCCCACAATACATTTAGCTAAGCAAGTTACAATCTTGATGAGCTAGTTACAAAAATTAATATACGTCGTCACATCAACAATGGGTTCGAGATCAACCAAAAGTTCAGTTTCTAAATTAAGCAACTGACATATGTGGAGAGCAAGTTTCATAATTTATGTTTGTCCTGCACACCGCCCCCCATCCAGTGGGCAGCGGTGGATAGGTTACAATCACTTAGTTACTACCTAAAATGTTAAAAAAGTTTAAACTAACACTATATACGAAAGAATTGTGCAGCTAAAGACTACTTTTTTTGCCAAGGTCATGAGAGAATTAACCTAACCAGCAATACTTAGACACAAACTGTTCATTGCCATTTGGCTCACCCAGTGTGTGCCTTTGTTTTACTTCTTATTATAGTATAAAAAGACGGGATCTCTCTTAATATTATAAGCAAATTTTATTATCATAGTGTCTTTTGGCTTATCAGATTTCCATGCCCTTCTTATTATCTATATTTACCTGAATTACCTAAGAGCCACTATCACTCCAATGGCCTCGATGAGGACAAGAAGCCGGCGGCTTCAAAGGTTCCCCCATTTGTCTTGATGAATTTATTAAGCTGAATCATGAATTGCAGCAGTGTTTTGACATTTACTGCTTCGGCGGGTAGGCAGTTCCATGGGTTTATAATCCTATGGTGAAATAGTATCTGATTTCTGTCGTACATTGTGGCTTGGTGAGCGTGATTCCTGGTGAAATGATACCTTCTGTAATTGTTAGAGCGTTTTTACTGTCTCTGTCGTCTAACTATAAATCTCTTTAGTTTCCCTCTCGTTCTAGGCACGTATTCTTTAAAAAGTTCAGTGATAGCCTTTGTGAATTTTTCCCATGATGCTTATGTCTTGATCGCCTATTAACTCCCTCCAGGAGGTAGTTGCAATTCCTCCTCGAAGATAATGTAGGAGTCATCGTCGTAGACCTTTATATAGATTTGTATAATTATATAAGATATATTCCCTTTTCTGATATCAGCGCATTTCGGTTACCTTGGGTAGGTTCTGTCACATCCCTTATGAGAAAGGACTATGTCCAGAATAATAATAATAATAATAATAATAATAATAATAATAATAATAATAATAATAATAATAATAATAATAATAATAATAATCATTTTTATTTAGGAAATTTATTTAGAAATTGTTCTCCTTCCACTTGTGATGTTAGATTCACCCAATCTCCTGTTACAGGATTGATTGATTGATGAAGATTAAGCCAGCCAAAAGGTGGCACGGGCATGAATAGCCCGTAAGTGGTGGCCCTTCGGAGCCATTACCAGTATCATTAGCTGGTACTGGAGATCTGTGGATGTGCGACTGCACCCTGCGTGTGTTGTTACAGGGTTAAATCCTCCATTATAAGAGTTTGACCTTCAGCAATCATCTAAAGAAGGCATATTAAAGTGAGCTTATACCTAGCTCTTGAACTAGAACTTTGTAATGTCTTATGCAGTATATTTTAGTAGCGCACTCCTGCGTACCTTGTTAATGAAAGCAAAAAACTCGTGATTAGTAATTTATTAATTACATATAGTTGTATGTGCTAGAGGCATATCAGAAGATGCTATAGGCAAACCAAACCCAAATTTTAAGCCTTTATTAACAAGTTTCGTTTAATTATATTGGCCTTGCAAACAATAGTTCAATGCTGCATTTTGAATGTAAACAATGTAACATAATCTATATATTTTTTACAACTAAAATTATTATTAATTCAACTTCACCATTGTAATTGTGCTAAATGGTGCATTCATTCGTACTAAATGGGAATGAATCTGACTGGGGAAATGTGCTAAGTGGGGTGCCACAGGGGTCCATTTTGGGGCCAACCCTTTTTGTCATATACATCAATGACATAGATGAGACTATTACACACCACATCATCAAATTTGCAGATGACACTAAGATCTATGGTAAAGTGGGAAGTGAAAGTGATATTGAGACTTTATAAAGAGATCTACATGAACTCCACAAATGGTCAGATGACCGGCAAATGCTTTTTAATGTTGATAAATGTAAGACCTTGCATGTGGGGCATAACAATCCACGTTACAACAACCAAATTGACAGAACTTCCTTACAACAGACAGATTTATTTATTTATTTATATATTTATTTATATATACAAGAGTTCTTACATTCTTGTACAGCATTAGTACGCGTAGCGTTTCGGGCAAGTCCTTAATCCTATGTTCCCTGGAATACGACCCCGCGAAAAATCGTACCCATTTTACTGTTGAGTCAAACGGAGGCTACAGTTAAGGATTGACGCCCAGTAATACGAACCCTGGACAAAGAGACTGCGGCCGTCCTTTTCTAGATGAAGAAAAGGACCTTGGAGTCAGAATCCATCATTCAATATAAGTTGCACAACAAGTGGGAGCAACAGTAAAAAAAGGGAGCCAAACCCTGGCAATAATCAAGCGTACCTTTACCTATAAGGAAACGAAAGTAGTCATTCAATTGTATAAGTCTCTGGTGCGCCCCCACCTGGATTATTGCATCCTGGCATGGAGACCTCGTCTTCAGAGAGACAGCTGCTCTGGAGAAGGTGCAACACCGGGCAACAAAAATCATCCCAGAGCTTAGTCATCTCTCATATCAGGAACAGTTGAGGGCCACAGGGCTAACAACACCACAAACCAGGCATGACAGCGCGGACTTCATAGAAACTTTTAAAATACTGAACAATTTGGAGGATGTCGATCCGGACAATTTCTTCAAAAGGTTAGATGTAACACGAACGAGGAGCAATGGGTTCAAGCTCAACAAGTCACAATGTAGGACAGAAAACAGGAGATGACAATCCTCGTCACGGCCCTTGTGGATTTGTTCAACAGGAGATGCTTTTTCACCCATAGGGTTGTAAACATGTGGAACCGCCTACCCGCCGAAGTAGTAAACGCCAAAACTCTACTAGGTTTAAAATACAGCTGGAAAAGATCATCCAGGGCAAATGGGGGGACCTTTGACAAACCGCCGGCTTCCTGTCCTCGTCGAGGCCACTAGTATTAGTAGCCCTCAGGTAAAAAGGTAAATTCAGGTAATCACTGTTATCAACTAATATCATGGTTGTTGAACATGTTGAATGCAAATTTTATCACAATGCACCTGTTGATAATCCTCAAATTTTACTACAATGTACCAATTAGATGTCTTCAAATTATCTTACAATGTACCTGTTATTTTTTTTTTAATTTTGCTACAAATTACCTACTTGATATTAACTGTTAGATTAAGGACCTGCCCGAAACGCTATGCGTGTTAGTGGCTTTACAAGAATGTAAAAACATCAATGCTATGTACTCTCATAAACCCATTGTACCTTATTGTATATAATAAATAAATAAATTATGAAAATATTTCGTTTTCTATTACTGATAAACTCATCGTTTTCTATGGTACAAAGGTGCCAGAAAACGCGTAATATCAATAATTTTGTATTTTTTACAATAAATATTTTTATTTATGTCTCAGCGACTGCATGAACGTAGTTTTAACAATGTATTTATTAATGGGTGGTGTTGAGCAGACTGAGTGATGGAAGAGAAGAACTGTGAGAAGCGCCACGGGGCTTGACTGTCTCTCGGGTGAGCAATATTATTCACCATTTCCCTCTAGAGCTTCCTCACACAAAAATGTTAAGCTGGTATTTGTGGGCGAGGGCAGGAACGGGTGTGGGAGAGTGTGTGAGAGTGTGAGAGAGAGAGAGAGGGGGGGAGGCAGGGACACACACACACACAGGAAACGCCTTTCTACCACAACAAAAACGACGCCATAGTAGACATTACGACGGTGCTCACACTGTGGGTGATGGACGCCTCTGCCTGCTCCTGCTTCCCTCCCCGCACCCTCAGGTGAGTCCCTGCTGGTGTGGGTGTGGGTGTGGGGCTGTGGGGGCCCGTGCTGGGGGGCTCCAGGGGGGAAGGGAGGGAGGGGGGCAGACACATGCCCACACTACAACAAACTTCAAATTGCAAGTTGGGTTCCGTTTGTTGGGGGGAAATGATTTTAGTTTTGCCGTTGGGGATGTTGTCTCTTTTTTTTCCTGGTTACATTGGAGCCGTGGAGATGGGGTCGAGTTGAGGGTGAGTGTGGAGAGGAGTAGTAGTGGAGGTGGTCCTCGGGAGGTGGCTGCTAACGTGGAGTTATAACTCCTTCCACTCCATTATCTTCCCCCCCCTCCGTGCACACCTTTATTGATCGCAAATGTGAAACTGGTTTTTTGATAGATTACAGGAGCTGGTGAGGTGGGAAGATAGTTTTGTCTGGGATGAATAAAGGATGAGTTTTCATCATATCAAGCTATAGTACTGTACTTCCTTTCCATTGTAACCTGCCTACTCTTGTATTGTTTTTATTAAGCTTGCTACTGTTGTGTACTTTTGGCTCTATATACCTAACTTTGCCCCATATACAGCATTCTTGGATAAAGACCCATTACTCAAAAATTCAAGAAAGTGGAAGAAGTTTACAGAAAAAGAAAAAGTTGGATTTTGGAAAATGCAGCACAGTAAAATTTATTATGCTGCATTTACTGTGGATTGTGCATTAACCCTGGGGGACCATCTTGCTGCCTTCATACCTAGAGTATGAATGGTCGAACCATTGTTAGAATCATGTGTTGTGTTTCTACAATGGTCACCTAAGTTAAAATCGGTGAACGCCCCAAGAATATTGTTGAAAACATCTTGATAACTTATTAAACCAAAAATCAAAAGTTTTTTAACGTTAGGTTAAGTCAAGTTAGGTCAGTGTTTTACCACTGCGCCAAGGGGACTTCATATCTATTGGGAAATTTTGAACATTAAAACTGGCATTCGCCGATTTTAACTTGGCGACCATTGTGGAAACTCAACACATGGGTTGACCCAATTGCTACTTTGCGTCAGATTTTATTATGGTTCGGAACATGAACACTATGGGGCGTGCACATCCTTCAACTCCTGTTCAAGGTAGAGTATTAATCAAAAGTGCACATTGAGCAGGCTTTTGACAAGTGTGACCATGGTGTTATTGCTTACAAAATGTACATGAAAAGAATTACCAGCAAAGTAGAAAGATCAATCAATAACTTCTCAATGAACAAAACCCAATACAGTAGTCAATAAAGTAAAATCCTGATCATCCACTGAAAAGTTCAGTTCCCCAGGGTATTGTGCTTCTTATCATTCTCATGACAGACAGACAAGGACACAAACTGTAGGATTGTATCAACCTTTGCAGATAATTACTAGGATTTATTAAGGGTTTATTGATATATACAAGAGTTTTTACATTCTTGTAAAGCCACTAGCACGCGTAGCGTTTCGGGCAGATCCTTGATCCTAATTTCCCCGGAATACGACCCCGCTGAATCGTTTAACAACCAGGTACCCGTGCACTGCTGGGTGAACAGAAGCTACAGTTAAGGATTGGCGCCTGGTCAATCCTCTCCGGCCAGGATTCGAACCTAAGGCAAGGTGCTTGCGAAACGCCAGGCGAGTGTCTTACCACTGCGCCACGGAGACTGCTGTTATGAGAGTAGACAATATGCAGAACACAGCAAACCTCCAACTGATGTAAATCAAGTCATTCAGTAGGCCACAGAAAATAACATGATTTTCAATAAAGATAAGTTCCAGTGCCTGCATTATGGAGAAAATGAAAATAACAAAATGGCAATCACACTAGAATGAAAAGGCAATGCTTAAAATTTGGGAGTATGTAATCATGTCAGAAGACAGTACTTCTAAAGAACACAATAAAGTAGCTGACAACGGCAAGAAAAATTACTTGAGTAAAAACAAATAAAATTAAAAATATATTTTTTGAATTAAAAAATATTTTTTTATTAAAAATATTTTTTTTCTTTGAGAATTAAGAAATATATTGATGTACTGTACTGTGAACTAAAAAAAATTATATATATGGTAGGTTTGAAGTTTAGCTACAAGGGAAGGACACTAGTTTATTGGGCATGCTAGTTTTAGTAAGTTTATGCAGTAGTAAGCTAAAAGTTTCATGAGATGTCTTGTCTCTTATCTCCTGAAATAAATCTTAACACTTTCGCACGCCCGGCTAAGGTTAAAAAAAAAGCGGTATGTGCGCGCGGCGTTTTTGTCGTTTAAGTGTCAAAACAAAAATGTGTATACTCTTTTTACTCTCCTGACCTTAGTTCTCGAGCTACGTATTTCATTTTGGTACCAACGTGTTCGTAATAAAATTCTCTAGAAGAACATCAGTAAAAAAGGTCACGAAAGGTATAGGGATACCAGCACCAAATAAATAACTACGTAGATGACTCGCCGTGAGCGCCCAACAGCAACAAAATGTTTTTACTCTTGGGATTGTTATCACCTCCACACTTGTCCTACAGCGTTAATTTTGGTATCAATGGACTTACAATGAAATTCCCAACACGGTGATATGAATATAAACGTAAAATAATGGTCGCAGCCCACCCGCAAGAGTGTGGGAAGTGGTGGAACTGTTACCCGGTATCGGTGACGGGACGACACATGTGCGATACGGCGCTTTGAAAGTTTATACTTATTTCACTGTCCTGACATTATTATTCTATGTACGTCATTCATTTTTGTGCCAATGTGTTCGCAATAGAATGTTCTATGAGCCCGTAGGTAAAAAAGATCAACAAAGCATAAGTTAGAATAGCGCCAAATATAAAACAACGCTGGAACATATCAGTGAGCGTCAGACACACACGAAAAGGTTTTTACTGTTGTTATGTTTGCCAAGTTTATACTTGTTGCACACAGTTATTTTTAGTTGTACATTGATCGGAATAAAATTCCCTAAACAGACATATGCATATAATACATGATATGGAGGAAGCATTACCAGTATAAACGGCTAAAGTCACCTATCTGCAACCCGTTTGGGACGCTCATGCAGACACATGCTACACCCAAAAAAAAATCTATGAAGGTTCGAGTCTACTTATGGCAGTTTATGTGATACAGTGTTCATTCTGGTATCAAAATACTCGTTTCAGTTTGTAGTTCATGCGATTTTCAGAATCAACTGAATCGCTGGAGGTTCAACATTTGAGTCAGTCATCTGACAAAACCGTCTCGTCAAATGGCAGTGTGCCAGACATCTCGGGTTCTGATTCGGTTGCTGCTTCAGCTTGAGGTGTTGAAGTGAACAAGGGCCGCCTCACACCAGATGGTCCAGGATTTTGCATGGCGTCAGCATAGGCAGGACCTGTGTCATCATTTATGTCTGGAGCGTGCCGCAAGTGTTGAGATACTGTTGCTGTTTGAGGCCAATCTTCCGGGTCCCAGCACAATAGGGCCCAAATTGCTACCTCGTGGAACTGTAGCAATGTTAGCTTTTTTGATCAGTTGTGTTGTATTTGTACAAAACAAAGGCATTATGCAAAGCCATTTGCGGGAAATAAAACGTTATCTTTTTGGTCCACTTGTGAGTTTTCCTTGTAAAATGGTAATACCATTTGATCGAAGTGGTCCACACCTTTCATGAACTTATTGTACCATGCAGCCTAGTGGTGAGAAAGAGAGCCTCATGGCGCACAGTTTGAAACAAACCCAAAGTAAATCGGATTAAAATTGAATTTTATACAAATATTTTTTTCAGGACATCATTTTATGTCCACATTGCGGAAGCGGGTAGACGAAACAGGACTCCAGGTTATGTCCTGATCCGCATAAAGTGTATATCCTATTAGCTGTATTCTTTACATTTGTCCATTTATTTTTTACCTGATCATCTTTTTAATCTATGAGTCATTTAATGCAAAAAAACTTGGAAATCATCAATAGTATGGATCTTAATTAAGCCAACAAATCAGGTCATACACTGTACTGTATGTATGGAATAAGACCAGTATTGCGATGTATTTCTAGAAGAGGTTGAAAAAGTTTAATTTACATTCCCTAAAATGATGAGAGTAAAGTATGACATGATTGAAATACAGTACAGTACTGTAAAGTATTTAAATGGATGAAAGTTTATAAGAAAGGTGGAACAAATAAGAGAACGAGAACTAATCCACGCCAGACGATGAGGGACAACGATGTTTCGGTCCATCCTGGACCATTATCAAGTTGATTGTGCAAATAAGATTATAAATATATCAACACAAATAGAACATGACAATGGATATACAATAAATTGGATCAGTTTAGATTCAAACTGTGTATGGAGTCAGCCTCCACCACATCACTGCCTAGTGCATTCCATTTATTAACAATTCTGACACTGAAAAAATCTTTCTAATGTCTCTGTGGCTCATCTGGGTACTAAGTTTCCACCTGTGTCCCCTTGTTCGTGTCCCACCCGTACTGAAGAGTTTGTCTTTGTCCACCCTGTCAATTTCCCTGAGAATTTTGTAGGTGGTTATCATGTCTCCCCTTACTCTTCTGTTTTCCAGGGACGTGAGGTTCAGGTCCTTTAGCTTTTCCTCGTAGCTCATACCTCTCAGTTCCGGGACGAGCCTGGTGGCATACTGCTGAATCTTCTCCAACTTTGTCTTGTGCTTAACTAGGTATGGACTCCAGGCTGGATCTGCATATTCGTGGATTGGTCTGACATAAGTGATATACAGGGTCCTGAACGATTCCTTACACAAGTTTCTAAAGGCAGTTCTTGTGCTGGCCAGTCTAGCATATGCTGCTGATAATATCCTTTTGATGTGGGCCTCTGGGGACAGGTTTGGTGTGATATCAACCCCCAGATCTTTCTCTCTATTTGACTCTTGCAGGATTTCACTTCCTATATGGTACCTTGTGTTCAGCCTCCTGCTCCCTTCACCTAATTTCATTACCTTACACTTTCCTGAGTTAAACTTTAGCAGCCATTTTCTAGACCATTCCTCCAGTTTGTCCAGGTCTTC